GGGGGACTGACAAGGCAAATAAAAAAGGGATTAGGGATTTAGTAGGAATTTACCGAATAATAAAACTAGCATCAAATAATTAAAACAATTTCATACATCAAACCTAATTTAATATAAACAAATGATAAACAATAGTATTATATAACATATGCTAGAAAAAACTAATACAACGTGACACGAGCCAGTATATAAATTAAAACTTCTACTATTATTATTACTTTTTTTTTTTTTGGCAAAAACTTTGTTCTATAAAATTATTAATTAATACTTATTTACTATTCTTTTTGGATTTTTTTTTGTTTGCTTTGGTTAGTTTTGAAAAAGTTTGTATGATTAGTTGTTAGTGAGTATATTAAAATAATATTTAAAATTAAATGATTAAAGTTGATTTGATGTAAAGTAGGAAAGAGAAGATTTGAATTGATTGTTAGTTAAAATTATGTGAGTGGATGAATAGTGAATTAATGTGGAGTGGTGTGTAAGAATGATTGATTTGATATTATTTAATCATATTGATTATATTGATGATTGTGAGGTTGAGTTAAAGTTGAGTTATAAAAGTAGTTGAGTTAAAAATGTTGGGATATTTTTGAGATAATTTTGTATCCAATCATGCTCAAGATTTGAGAGGGTAAATTAATTGCAAATTTCATTATTACTTAAAGATAATAAATAAGAAAAATGCTATTGTCCCATTAACGGAATCATTTTGTTGGGGTTTGTGACACTTAGATCATTATTTTTTACGATTACATGATGATTTAACGGTTACAAACTCTGACAGAATGGTTCCATAACCGAAACGTAGCATTTCCCAATAAATATACATATCTAACCTATTTATTGCATATTTTCCCTAAATAAAAAACAAATGAAAATCTAAATTGCAAAATTCCTTGATATCACACTTCACACAGTACTTGTAAACGAACCGAACTTTCGCGAACAAAAGTTCGTTCGAGCTCGTTCGTGTTCGACGAAAATTTGTTTGTTTGTTAATTAAGCCGAGTTCGAACACAAAATTAGGCTCGTTTAATAATCGAACGAACACGAGCTTGTTCGTGAACGTTCGATTATGTTCGCGAACATTAATTTAATATAATTTTTTTTATATATTTACATAATATTTTTATTAAAAAAATCTAAAATTTAATATAATTTATTTATTTTCTATATATTTACATAATATTTTTAATAACAATATAATATATAAAATTATTTTTATTTTTATTCTTTTGTTTTCGAGTTGGAACGAGTTCGAACGAACAACTTTTGAGTTAATCGAACATATATAAAAGGTTTATGTATTAAATTATTGGAACACGAACGAACTCGAACTTTGACGAACAACTAAACGAACGAACTCGAACACGATTTTTTGCTCGAAAAATAAACGAACGAACACGAACACTGTTCGAACGAACACGAGCTCGAACAGCTCAAGCTCGGGTTCGGTTCGCTTGGTTTACAACACTTACTACTCATCAATTCATTACTGTAGATAACACGGAGAAACTGCCCCGGCCGCGATTTCTATAAAAACAATGGCGAGAGAAAGCGGCGGCGGAGGCGGCGGCGGTCGGAGCAAAAGAGAAACCAAAGCAGGCGCGTTCTTCACGGCCACCTTAGTGATGTGGACCGTCTCCGTCTTCTTCGAAATCCTCTTCAACAAGCGGTCGGAGCTCATCCCCATCCCGTTAGGGTTTGTCTTCTTCCAATCAGCAAACGCTGTCGTTCGGAGACTCGTGTCGCGCGACCCGCTCTTCGTCAACACGTTCATCTCGCTCCTCCATTCCTCAATCACCTCCGCCATCGGTCAGCTTCGAAATCGAGCTACGGAGTTTTTTTTTTTTTT